TCAGGATGGAGATGGGGCAGTGGGGACAGTAACGGGATGGATGTGGGGCAGGGGGCAGCTGTGGGGGGGGAGCAGAGCAGCAGCGGTGGCCTTGGGACGCCCTGAGCTTGTCCCCGTGTCCCTGGCCAGGCTGGCAGTGGGGATGGTGGGGACAGTGGGGATGGTGGGGACAGCGGGGACAGCAGTGTGGGGCCAGGCAGAGCTGTTGTGTTCTGCCCAACCTGCCCCCAGCTCTGCTCCTGGGGGTGCCCAAACCGGGGACACCCTGTGGGCACCCCATCAGCTCCCAGTTCCTCCCTGGGGCCCACCGGGACCCCCCCGACCCGTGTCACCCTATTGCCAGGCTGCTGTGTCACACCCGTCCTGCTGCCCACCCCCACGGGGCAGGATTCACCAGGGACATTCCTGCTGCCCCACTGCTTGGGAAAGGGGCTGTTCCCGGGCATCAATGGGAAATCTGCCCCATCCAACCCGGACGGACCAGGGATTTGGGTTTTCCTGCTGGAGCATTGCAGAGGGGACCCCTCCCCCACACTCCACCCCCCCAATTTTCATCCCCCTTCAAAAAGTCTATTATAAATTTAACACCCCCCAAACCCTGCCCAGCCCCGGGACACCAGCCTGGCCCCAGGCTGCCCTGAGTCGCTGCTGGGAAATTCAGGGAAAGGGCAGCAAAAATGACAAATCCACCCCCATCCCTGCACACAGCATCCCCCAGGCCCTTCCCTGGTGCTATTAATTAGGAAACACCGGTTCCTCAGTTAATTAAGTGCCACCAAATACCCACTGATACATGACATGCTGCTCACTGCACCCCAGTAAAACCACACATGAGGCAGCAGGGACTAAGATGGGGGTCATCCTCCCCAGTTTTTGCCATCCCCTGCCCCCCCAGCTCCATCCCCACTCGCTGCCCTGCTTCCCAGTAAGGCCAGACTGGGCTGAAATGGGATTTGGCCATTGGGACATCAGTGCCACCCAGCTAACCAGGCTGCTTCACGCATGGGGAAACTGAGGCAGGCAGCATCTACATGACCGTTCCCCCCAGCACCGGGGGTCCTTGTGTCCCCCCTTAATGTGTCATGGGGGACAGCTGGGGTCGTGGTGGCTCTTGCGTCACCGTCCCTCGACTGTCACCCCGGCGGGTTCACGCTGCCAGCACAACCAGGGCACAAACTTGCTAAACCTGATTAAAAGTTTCAGCTCGGCCGAGCCCCTGCTGAGAAAAATAGATATATACAAGAAAAACAAAAATCCCTTTAACCTGTTTTTCACCCAAATCGGCCAAACGACCCTGCAGCATCCTGGTCCCACGGGACCCCCATGGAGGTGGTGGTGGGGGGGTGACCCCCGGGTTTGGGTGTTTGATCCCCCACTGATGTGAGCACCTTGTGGACCCTCCTGCCTGCGCCGGGGACCCGGCCCCGCCGCCGGAAGGGTTAACCCTGGGGGGCTGGTCCAGCCTCTCCCCGCTGGGTGGGTTTGTCCTTTTTCCTAGTGAAAACCCACCCTTCACTTTTAATATTTTCACCCAAAGAGGCGAGCTGCCAGCAGGGCCGGGGGACACCCATGTCACCGCATCCAACCCCCCGTGACCGGGGGGGGGGGTCCTGCACCCCTTGGGACACCCCACCATCACCTCCCCTCACCTTTTATCCTTTCAAACCCCCCCAAAAACCCCAAACCATCTTATTTTTTTTTTCCTCCCTCCCCAATCATTTAATTGACTGCTCCATCAGCCGGCGGGGAAGCCCCGGCCCGGGGAGGGGGACCCTGGGGGTGAAAGTGCTTGTGGCTCCGTGAGTCACGGCGCGTTCGCCATCGCGCCTCGACGCCACCGCCGGCACCCGCCACCCCCCGCGACGCCCCCGAACCCCACGTGCTGCCGCTCGCATCCCTCGGTGTGGAGGGGGGGGGGAAGGG